TGCGTGTGTGTGCGTGTGCGTGTGTGTGTGCGTGTGCGTGTGCGTGTGTGCGTGTGTGTATGATGTGTGTGTGTGAGTGTGTGTGTGTATCTTTGCGACTTTTGTTGACAGACATCCCAACCTGTTGTAATCTTTGACCATTCTTTATCCTGGAAGAAAAAAGCATTGCGCTAAAACAAAGACCCTCAAATCTCCAGAAAAATATAATGGTACAGTGGCAAAACTGTTATAACAAAAATGTTATGTTTTTGTAGACAACAAAATTATTTTGCTGGCAGAAAAAACACGGTGGAGGTTGCTTTTTTTTGGGGGGGGGCGGGGGGAGAGGAGTTGATGTTGTTTTTGTTTGTTTTGCAGTTTTTGTCGTTTTATTTAACAAACACCATCGATGTAATACATTTAACTTCTCCCATTTTTACCAGCCAACAAATAATACAATTTGCAATTCCCCTCGGTAGTTGGGATGGAAGCCATTAGATACGATCTCGTCTGACATTTTCCTGGGCGGTTGTCAAAGAATTGTGTCCACTTGTGGCATCCCAGGGTTAGAACATCGTTACCGGGGTCTGTGGTGTAGCAGTTAGACACTTCGTCGTTGCTCGCAGGAGACCCGGGTTGGAAATTCGGGCATGTTGTAGTTGACAGTTGTATTGGAGACCCGAGTTCAAAATTCGAGTGGGAAGAATTTTTTTTCTCGATTACATCGTCTTTTCTGCTGACAAGTTGTATTCCTTTCAGCCCGGGTTAGCCCCTACAGGTATAGTCGAAGCCTGCCTCCTAAATTGTCTAAATTGTGTCCATGGGGCTGTCCCCGTCGTTTTATGCAAGAAAAATTCTGAAATTATGCAAACTGAGCCCAAAAATGTGAAACTATGTAATTCTGTTAATTTGAACAAAGAATGATAAAGGAAAATAATCAGAAATTATGCAAAAAATGATCAAATTTTGCTAAATTATGCGGGGTGCATAAAACCACGGGGACAGATTTGGAGGGAGGGGGGGGTCGTTAAAAACACCTGTCAAAAATAGAACCTTGTTGTACCTCTCGCTGGCAGACATTTCTGGTCTTTACGTAGATTTTCTTCCGAAGGTTAAAGTACTTTTGGTAACTACCCAACAACTTTGCATAATTGCGGGAAATTGTAGGAGAGTAGACGATAAAATGTTCCATCTTAGATAAATGTGCAAAGTGCAAGTGCTTTCTCCTACTACTAGTCTAGCATTGGCTAGTGGATGGAGGAGAAGATCAATACTGTACTGTCCAAGACAATTTTCTACTCCGTAATCTCCTCTTTTTCTCGTCTTCTCGCTTGTCATTTATTGCTGTCTTTTAAAAAATCCAAGTCTTGTCCATATAATTATCATAGAGCAGACGTGGCAACGTTTTCTCTC